TAAAATTTACCCCAGAGACCAGGGATTTTGACCCAAGGACAGCAAGAGGATTAAGCTAAATTCTATAGATTATTTTCATTTTTATGGTCATCAAAATATTAGAAGATCCTGCCCTTTGCATTTAACTTTAAAGTTACATTTGCACTATTTATAATAGGGATGCACAATATTGGATTTTTGGCCAATATCCAATATGTTAAAACTTATTGGGCCAAAAACCGATACCAATACCGATTATTTTTTTCCTAGACCTACTTACAAAGCCTTTATAGCTTTCTCTGCTGTGGAATTAAAATACGACATTATTCTTGATGGTCTTTGTTAATGTGGCTGCTACCAAATGCAGATGCCAAAAAGGGAGCTGAAAATGATGTTACACTTCAACTTGGATTATGTTTAATGTCAAATTTATTCATGACATTTACTCTCTCTAACACAATGACAACACTCGAACAGTGCAAATTTGTAAATTTTCACAAATCTAAACTCAACAACGTGTGTGATGTCATAACGTTGAGCTGGCGCTGCAGGCATCCTTGTCACTGGGTTGTCACACCAAAAACAATGCCTAATGTACACACACATTTCTTCTTTTGGCTGCTCCCTGCGTTAGGGGTCGCCACAGCGAACTAAGTCACACGATATATATATATATATATATATGTATGTATGTGTGTGTGTGTAAACAGCACCTTTTATATTGATTAGTTATTCTGATGGATTGGCCGATGCCTGATATTTAATACACATACTATGCCGATAATATTGTGCATCCCTAATTATTATCAGCTGCCAAAAGGTGAAGGTTCCAATAATGTTTTTGTCTGTGTTACCAAAATATATTGAAACAAATTTTAATGAAACTTGCAGAAAGTTATCATTGGATGTACAACTTCAGCTGCTTAATTTTTGGAGTCAACCTAATTCAATATGGCTGCCACAACCAAGTGACCTTAAAAAGATAAAATTTGCAACTATTTAGTAAATTTTACATATATTAGGCTAGAATTTGATATGGTAGCAGCTGAGACTAATTCCCAATATTTATTATGAGGACTAACAGGTTGCACAAGATTTTATAAAAACTTTGCAACTATCTTTTTGTAATCAAGTCTTTCAGTTAGCAAACTATCTCATGAGCCACTGGATAGATTCTTATAAAACTTCCAGGAAATATTTTGTTTGTACATCTACAACTGATGAATCTTCAGAGCAAAACCATTACAAGATGGCCACCACAACTAATTGAAATTAGCAAACACAAAAATGGTTATTCAACATTTTTCAGTCAGATCATCTAGACAGTTTCTTTTTTTTTTTTGTGCTGAAACGTTTCACCTTCGGTCCGGAAGGTTAAGGTTAAGGAAAAATGGTTATTATTTATTCAATTTCACTGATATTATGCTAAAAGTTGGGCGCAACGTGGGGGTAGTGCAGAGATAAGAGAAGATGAGATCGGAAGGTTGCCGGTTCAGAATCCCTGGACCAACAACAAAAATGTGGGATGGGGTCTACCCTGCCTTTCACAGTGACTGATGAATATATATATATATATATATCTCAATGACCACTGCAAAAAGCAGTTAAATATAATGGATGAATGGATGCATGGATGGATGGATGGATGGATAGATGGATGGATGGAAATGTGAAGCACCCACACCTACCTCCCTCATTTCCCCTACTTTGGGCTTTTGAGCAATCCCTGTGACCCCAGGTGCTCCCCAGGCACCTTGATGGCAGCCCTCTGCTCCACACAGAGGGCTGTGGTAGTTCGATGATCTATTGTTGCTTCAGGAAGGGCATCTGGAAAAAAACAATTACCAAGTCCTTGTGGGAGTTTGCTAGCTGTGGCAAGCCCTGAAGAAGGGAGCAGCCGAAAAATAAAAACCAGTATTGAGTGCATTTTGCAATATTACATGAGACTGCACATTATTATTTTCAAGGTTTGACCTAAACACCTACAATTTCATCCTTTCTCATCATAAACTGATCTTATTCTAAAACAAACACAGCAAATATACATCCTTTTAATAAAAACTTTTAAAAAATAAAACACTTTGTATGCTGCATAATTTCTAAATATGTGGATGCATACAGGTCAACCACTTTTTGTTGTTTATATTTTTTTAGTATATCATGAAATGGTCCCCGTGACCCAAAATGGAAGAAGCGGGTAAAAGATAATGGTTGGATGAAATGGCTTGTAATGATTAGTTGCTTTGATTACTTGCTACAAAAAATGTAAATAAATAAATGAAAATATCAGAATTTTCTCATTTTCCCCTGCGCTTTTTCTTAGAAAGAACTTATTTTTGCAATCAAAATAAAAAATCTTGTTGAATGTAGCTTATTAGAATTATTATTATTAGAAACAAACTTTTAAGACTTCTGCTTTTTTAAACTAGCTACTGAAACTAATTCGATTTTTTTTTTAACTAAACTGTACTGTCAAAACCACATGTACTAATTTTTACTTGAAAACATTAGTAAAAAAGGCACTTTTGTTTCTTTGCCCTTTGCTTTGTTTTCTGTTTCGCCTCCTGCTACTAATAAAGTTCTGCGTTTTTGATATTTCCCGCCGAGACAACGGTTATGCTAAAGCTAGCTTATTAGCTGCTTGATTCACGAGATTACTGGTCAGTTCGCTATTTCGACTAAATATAACATTAATATATTTAGACAATAGAAACGCTAACCTACATGTTTAAAAAGTATTACAGGTAAGTTGTAAATTAATAATTTGTAAAATAATGCTAGCTTTGTAACATTCGTTCAATTAGTCATAACAGTAGACCAAAAAAAAAAAAACAACAACAGTATTTCTTTTATTCATACCTTTTTATTATTTATTTGCACAACTTTCAAGATAACCACTGACATATTTATTATTATTCTAATTTATTATTTACAGGTAAAACAGTAATGGCAACCTCGGATATCATTTATGAAAAGGTTCACTTCAGACACGATCCAAAATGGAGCGTCCGCCTGCGGCCTGCAGAGGGAGGGCTGTTCTGTCTGGCATGTGTTATTGAGATAATCCAGGCAGGAGAAATGGCGGTGAGGAAAACAAGATTTCTAAGTCCTTTAAGTATTGTAAAGTCTCCTTAAAGCTAGCCTTTTGGTTTTTTTTTAAGTTCTGATTGTTTAGATGTGTCAGCATTTTCCATCAAACATTTTAAAATTGGCTCATCACAATAAATACTTTCTTTTATTTTACGTACACGCACAATTTGAAAATCCTCCCATATATTTTTCTCTACCTGTGTAATCTAGTCAGTGAGGAAGTCCTACGCCTTGTCTGGTGTAAGTGGGATGCTGAAGAACTCTGCAAAAGCAATGAAGGAGCTGCTCCAACAGGACCACAGAGTCACGCTGCATTTTATTATTACACTAATAGGTGAGAAAATACGCATCAGGAAAAGCCTGGTAAAATGATAAGGGCATTTCTCCAGAGGTAGAGTCCATTGTGGTGTTTTTCATTACATTGTATAGTGCACAAGAGTGTTACGCTGCTTTGAGGCACGTCGTCTCTGTTTAAAAAAAAATAAAATTTATGCTACATTGATGCAGCAGACGCATTAATTCACAGCTTAAATAGGAGTACAGGGTGGGTATTGTATAGGTGCAGTCAAAACAACTGACTGTAGGAGATCTCAGCTCAAATGGTAAGAAGTAAAAGGTCGTTCTCTTGATCCACACTATTGATTAAATTAAATATATATATATTTCATGTTCATTAGTAATGTACACAAAAGGCAAACCCTGGACACAAATGAGATAAATATATTTTAAATTGTTAGATTGAAATGAGTTAATAAATCAAGAACTTGTTTTGGTGTAGGAGCTGCTGTAGAGAAGCTGTTTGATTTAGTCCCACCAGTCACTGGTCAGCAGTGGTTTGATGTTATGCAGTACCAGTTTGGCTCGCATGGAACCTCAGCTGAGATGGCACTAAACCGTTTCACTTGCATGATACTTATATTAAAACAACAGAAAACCACAAATAATTGAGCCTCACTGCACGGTACCACGTAATGGGTGAGCATCATTACTGTGCAAGTGCTGCATTTAACTTATATTACAGCTTTTTAGACTAACCAATGGTGACAGCTATTATCACATTGTCTAAACTGTAAAACAGTAATAGTTTTCAGCAAAATGCAGTTATACTAGACAGGTAATAGACTGACACAAGGTTCAATCTTTTTTTATATGGAATAATCATGAAAGAAAAGTGTGCTATTTTTGCACTAATAACACCAACAGAATGATTTTCAGATGATCTGAACAAATGACCAGAAGCATAATGCTGACTTTTCCTGACAGTCACATTAAATTTGAGGTGAAAAAAGATTGTTGTTTTCGGTTGAATGAATAGACCGCATTAACCTTATACACACAAGCTGCAACCAAATGAGCAGTTTTGTTTTATAGGCTTGGGCAGTACATTAAATCAAATTAACATCTTAATGACAGCTTTTGCTGCAGATAATAAATGAATATGGGTGACATTATTAAAAACACAGTATTCTTGAATCAAGTGCTTATTTAACCACAGTGATTCAGTGATTATATGATTGACAGCTCATCATAGCTGAAGACTGAACCCTGCTCTGGCGCCACTTTGGAAAGTGGAATACTTAACTTAAGTGATAAAAAAAAATCCTGTTTTTAATTCATTAAGGGCAATGCTGCACCTTTCTGTGTATCCTATAGTTGTCAGAGCCTATACACGATCTTTAGTTTGTCACCCTTAGATAATTTGCTGTCAGTTCCAAACTGGTGAACTGCCAAAGTCAGCAATGATGACCTCGTTAATCTCAAGGTTCAAGGCTCTTTATTGTCATTCGTATCACATGTGGTACATGAAGTAGAACAACATTTTTAGCTAGAGCGCCTGTATTGCGTGCTGCTAGCTTAGCATGACATGTTTGAGTTGTGCTCTGTTTATACAGTTTTTGAGTGTGTGTGTGTGTGTGTGGGGGGGGTGTTCAGCTTGGGAGAAGAGGCAACGTGAGCGCTGCCTTTAGCTTTTTAGCTAGAGAGCCTGTATTTCGCACCGCTAGCTTAGTGCTATGTCAGTGCCGGGTGGGGGCAAGTTCGGTTTGGTAGGCGGGGTGCTCAGTTCTGATGATGGGGTGGTGCACCCCGCTTGTATAATGGTAGGGGAAACACCAGATGCTTTCTTTTCACTCGGTGAATATTAGGCTGTCATATGCCACATGTACATTAGACAGTGTTTTGTGTATACACAGAATAGTAAGGGTCAGTGTATGAAACACAAATTAGTTTTTATGTGGTACATAAAAATGACAATAAATAAACTGAAAAGGATAATTATTAAAATAGAATGGCCTGCAAAATGTATAATTAGTAATAAAACATTTGACAAGATAATATAGAAGTACTCACTGACCTTTATTTTTTCATTATTTTAACACATATTTAACACATATTTAACCAGGAATGACCCCCTGAGATTTAAAATCTTTTTTACAAGCGTATTCTGGCCAAAACAGGCAGCGACTCAAAATAGCAGTAAAACACAACACAGGAAAAGTTTACACATCATAAAAACCAAAAGGTCATTAAAACTGTAAACAATAAAAATGAAAAGGATTCACAGGATATACTCAGTAAGTTGTTGCGGCAGTTCTCAGAATTAGTAAAAGAATCATCAATCAAAATGTTTACATCTCAATGGTTTTTAATGTAAATTACTTCAAACTTGTTTAATTAGAGAGGTGGAGGTATGCACTTGAAAGAAGAGGAATGAAAGTCAGCCATAGTAAAACAGAGTACGTGTGTGAATGAGAGGGAGGCGGGTAGAACAGTGAGGCTACAAGGAGCAGAGATCATAAAGGTGCAGGACTTCAAGTACTTGGAAAATTGGGGATGTGGTAAAGAGGTCAAAAAAGAGTCCATGCAGGATGGAACAGATGGAGAAAAGTTTCAGGAGTGATTTGTGACAAAAGTGAGGCAGCAATGGTCAAAGGACAAGTTTACAAGACAGTGGTGAGACCAGCCATGCTGTATGGTCTGGAGACAGTGGCACTGACAAAAAGACAGGAGAAAGAACTGGAAGTGGCAGAAATGAAGATGTTGAGGTTCTCCTTAGGAGTGACAAGGATGGATAAGATTAGGAATGAGACCATCAGAGGTACAGCACAGGTTGAACAACTGGGAGATAAAGTTAGAGAGACCTGATAACATACCAGATGGACATGTCCAAAGGAGGGACAGTGGGTATATTGGTAGAAGGATGTTTGAAATGCAGCTGCCAGGAAAAATACAAAGAGGAGAATATGGATGCAGTTAGAGAGGACATGGAGGTAGTTGTAGTGAGGTCAGAGGATGCAGAGGACAGAAAGAGATGGAGGAAGATGACTCACTGTGGCGACCCCTGAAGAGGGAAAAGCCAAAAGAAAAAGAAGAAGGTTACAACTCCATCACATCCCAACATGATATAATTCAAATAATCTTAAATAAGCTCATCTTAGTTTCAAAGTCTGGCAAAGGTGAGTCTGGTTTGTTAAGGGTGATAAGATTTGTAATTGTTTTTTTTGTTTTTTTTAATTATTATTTTTACAAAAAATTATTTACAAAATTGTTTTTGCCCCCCCTCCCCCCCCCCACCCCTTTTTTTTTTTTTTGTTTATAGTAAAGTGATACAAAACACACAAAGAAAAGAAAATTGAGACATGATGAGTGGCAAATGATCTAACCAACTATGCTTTCTCCTCCTGCTTACATCAGGTCATTACCACCCTGCTGTGATAACTCAGCTTTGAATTTCAGATCTAACTTATTAAACAGAGCTCTACGACCTGTGAGCACATTTAATCTATAATAAACCGGTGCTCATAAATTATCTGAGGCAATAATTTACTTCTGTCAGCTGGCCAACAACATGGCAGCTCTTTCTACTGTATTCACATCATAAAGTTGATGTTGTTTTTATGAATATTTATTCATTTATCTTATGGATAAGATTAGGAATGAGCTCATCAGAGGTTCAGCACAGGTTGAACAACTGGGAGATAAAGTTAGAGAGAGGCCAGACTGAGATGGATTGGACATGTCCAGAGGAGGGACAGTGGGTATACTGGTAGAAGGATGTTGGAAATGCAGCTGCCAGGAAAAAACCAAAGAGGAGATATATGGATGCAGTTAGAGAGGACATGGAGGTAGTTGGAGTGAGGACAGAGGATGCAGAGGACAGAGATGGAGGAGGATGACTCGCTGCAAAGATCCCTGAAGAGGGAAAAGCTGGAAGAAGAAGAACGCTTCAAACTTGTTTAAATTTACTCAGTGAGATGAATTTCTTCAAACTCACATGGTTTTGGAGCTGATTCCAAGAATATGGGGGCAGACTAAACCTGTGTGAAAGCCTGTTGAATTGCTCTTCATGTTGTTCTCATAAAAGGATGTTTTTTTTTTTTACAAATTGAAATAATCCTTTCATACTTTTAATGTTTGTGCTTGTGCAATTTTCTTTCCTTTACCAGGTATGCTTCAAACTGTGGAGGACCCAGTCACTCTGGAGAAGGCAGACCAAGGTGAAGAGATGGCCTTTTATGGTTTGGATAGTGTGTACATGCAGTGTGTGTTTGTTTGCACATACATATAAACGTGTATGTGCAAACACATGGTACATGCACACACATAACACTCACATTGCCACACATAGACATGGACTTCCAATGTAGTTACATGGACTCGCTCACAGTCTTGAGTCACGTCTTCTGGTTAATGTCAGTAGAACTGATCTTGGATGTGATTTCATTATTTTGCATGAAGATAATCTTTAATTTTTCCTTTCTGCATAGTTCAAATATTGTTTTTTCTTTGTATCCAATAATTTATTTAGTCAGTTACTTTATATGCAGACCTGTATATATCAATAATGCAGGCCTTTCAGACAAGACTTGTTTTTAGCACTCAGACAGTTTGGGCTCTCTGCAGCCTTTCACAATGCAGAAATCTGATGAATGAGTAATTTATTGTTTGCTGTCACAAACGGCTTAGGAGTCAAGTTTGTTGTAAAAGTTTGGAGAGTCAAAAGTTTAATGTTTTATTTTTTCTTCATTTTTTTCATGGAAAAAAGAATACATTTAGAAACACGTTCACACAGTTATTGTGATCTTGTTTGCACGGCAGTGACATTAGATGTAATAATATTGAACTGTTCATCTCTTTAGACAGTTGAGCATATATTTTGTAAAGTGAGATTTTAATGCATTTATTTAAAGAATGCCTCTCTTTGTTTTATGTTTGTTGTCTATTCATTAATTTATTTGTATCAGTGCTGGTTCAGCTGGTTTTAGAGCTCCAGAATGAACTGCCCCTACACTTTGTTTTGGATGAGATACACAAACAGGTAAGGCTAGCACAGTTCACACATTTACAGACACAGCAGTGCGTGTCCCCAAACACATTTTACAAATGCAGGCACAGAAAGAAACACAAGGTCTCTAAATTTTTAACAACAATTCTGCAACCAGCATCATCCTCAGGGGGCTGTTTAGTTAACAGAGTGCTTGTCTTCCTCTTGCTGCTTTAGTGTCTTCTCAGGGGAGATGATAGTGGAGTAGTATCCTTCAGCCAGTCAACAGGAGTTATTCTGATGATGTCAGAAAGGTTTAACATCAGGAAAAGTAGACGGGTTATGTTTTATCTCTCTAGAATAGATCGCTCGTAAAACTATTTAAGCACAATTCTGTTATAGATGTCCATGTTATGACTTATGATTAGTAATCAAGAAATAAGCAGACTTTGTTGAGTTGAATAAATTAGAGTTTCCGTCTCATCTGCTTTAAATTTAATAATGTAATGTTGCATGCCATCATTCTTTGAAACTTCTCTGAGCACATTATATTAGATAAAGAATTTAGATGAGTGTTTTAAGCTAAAATGCTTTTTTTTAGTTTTCTGGTAATTATTTTATTGTTCAGATATTCTCCCCACTCCCAGGCTCCACATCTCACACACAGAAAAAGACAGTTTTAGTTCCTTGTGCTTTTCACGCCTGCTCATTTTACCCTTTTACTTCTACAGTGCTTATTATTACAGCACAAATGTCAGCACAACAACCTGCTGGAAAAAATGCTTCGCTAAACTAAGCTGTTATAACAACAGTCTGAATGTAAAGAAAGTTTGCACACAGAGAGCAATACTCATTCATATGACTAATTTATCACAGGCATCATTATGAACGCTTATGTTAGCCTCTGCTTTATGAGTTAGGATTGTTGCCTGCTTCATACTTTTGCTTAAAAACAACAAATTCATATTGTTGGGATAAATACTTGTGGTTAATGACCGCTATTTGTTTCAGCTGTATCAAATGGTTTGTGGGGGGGGGCAGGGTAGGGAAAGGGTGTGTTGTTTTGAAAATGGTACTCGTTCTAGAAAAGCAACAACTTGGTGCATTCCTGCTATGTCTGGTGACGTTAGCAAGGTGTTACCCTGAGGATGTTGGATAAATAAATATCCTATTATTTATCTATTTACTCAAATAAGCCACTCTGAGGACACAAGAAGATTTCTAACCGGTGTTTTACTTGCAAAGGCAGATGGGTCACAGAAACAGGCTTTCATAGATGTGCAAAGTTACATGTTTAGAGCGTCGTCAATGAGAATCTGCACCGGACAGTGAGGCGGGAAGTGTTTTTATAATCCTTACTGTGTTTCCCCTAGATAACTTGCCATGGCGGGGCGCTCATCTCGTCTGTGATTTTTGTTTGGGGTGGGGGGTTTGGATGGAGACTCATTCCTAAGCTGCGCAGCGCACTGTTTAAACCAACAGTTTTAGATTGGCGTGGGGGACACAAACAGCCGCGCACTGTCTGAACCGACAGGTTTTTAAAATTTATTTTAGCTGGCGGGGGAGAGACAGACACACATCTGAGCCGTGTGCTGTTTGTACCAACAGTTTTCGAGTGGCGGGGGTGCGTTCAGCGTGAGGGTTCAACATGAAGGAAGAGGCTGCCTTTAGCTTTATAGCTAGTGCACCTGCATTGCGAGCTGCTAGTTTAGCGTTACGTCAGTGCCTACAGGTGGTGGGGGGGTGGGGCTCCGTAGACGGGGTGCTCGGTTCTGTTTACGGGGCGGGGCGCCCCGCTTGTATAATAGTAGAGAAACACTGCCTTATCAGACATAGGCCGGTCAAGACGACCTCAGCTTCACAGTTTACAGACTTGGAGCAGTCCTTGGTGTCATCAGGTGCACCTGCAGGCTCCTCTCTGAGAGGAAAAGCAACTCTCTAACTCACACGCATTAATTTAACATTAGTTAGTGACAAACATCCATAAACCTTTACCAAAATTCCTTTGACAGGGGACTGGTGAAAAATAAGAAAAAGACAACAGACCAACAGATGCATTTTTTTTTTTTGGAATATTTATAGTTCAATGACACTGACAATTTGAAAATCATTACTTATTGAATAAAGAGATAACCTAGCCCTACCTAACAAGGTTAAGTCAGGTCCTCTGGACAGATTCTTGTTTGTTGAACCTTGTTTGGTTTCAACAAACAAGAATCCGTCCAACTTATCGACCTGGATTATTGAGCATGCATGAGGACAACCTAGTTCAACTATGAACAAAACAGTTGCTGCAATTTCCTTCAGTTAAATTGAATCAAGTGGCACTGCTGCAGCAGAAACTCTTTAGAATAAGTTCATTAAAAATAGTTGTTGCTGATGCAAAGTACAAATGTTTTTGAGCTGGCAGCACATCTCGGTCTCAATTTATAATTAATTATAATATAAGATTGAGTTTTTTTCCTTGTCTTCTGGTCAGCTATAGCTACTCAAATTAAACTATTAAAAAACTAAGCTGAAACTAACATATCAAGCCATTTGAAAATAATGATCAGTTTCTGTAAAACACTATATTGTACTGAAAACGTATGTACAGCCAACTTTTCTAAAATGTGTCTTGTGGCCATGCTCAGTTCTTCCAGAGAGGTTTTTGACCTTGCTACAAATGTAATATTGTTGCATCTTCATATTTTTTTTCTGTTTAGCTGAGTGATCAGCTCAATGTGAAGCGTTTCCGACCTACATTCAACTTCCTGGGGAACCTTTTGAAAACGGTCCCTAACGTGGCTCACAGCCTCATGACTCAGTACGGTGAGACCCTGCAACTCAAGTCAAACTCAACATTAAAACTGTCTCAGATTTAAAGATTAAACTTTGTACTGTTGTAGTTTTGAAATAGCACTTAGACTTCACCGTCCATATGAGTAAGGATGCATTTCTAAACCCAGTTTTGGAGAAAAAAAATCTGTAATTGATTTGTATAAAAAGTAAGTATGATAATTATGTTATTTAAATAATTTTGCTTTGCTTATTTTCCTCAACTCTGGACAATTTTTTGTATTGAACGCTTTTTGAATAGATTTGTTTTGTTTTATGAGAAACTGTTACCATTATGATAATTAGAGTAATTAAACTGAGTACAAATAAACCAACCTTTTTTGTTAGTAAAGACAAAAATATCCCTTTCAGGATGTGGAGTACAGTAGTCCCTCGCTACTTCGCGGTTCGTTTTTCGTGGTCTTGCTCTATCGCGGTTTTTCAAAGTAAGATTGGACATAACACACAATTGGCTGATTGATGGATGAGCCGCACGATCGGCATGGAATTGTAGCGCCCCCTAGCGTCCTTAGCGTTATGGGGGTGGCTAACCCGAGTTCTTTAAATCAGTTGGTAGCTCTACCTGAATATTCTAAATGTTTACCCCTTATACCATGAAGTATAACACAGTAGAATAAGCATACGTTTTAAACAAATAAACAGTTTAATGAACAATAGCACAGTTTCTTCAGTCAGTAATGAAATAGAAATGATACGATTAACCTCGTTAAACAGAAAGGAAACTTAAAGCCGGCAGCTAAAAATTAGTCTCGGTCGTTGCAGGCCTGATGTTGGTGCACTCGCGCGCTTCCCGCTCTTTCCATTAACGTCCCCAACAACCATGTCCCCCATCACCTGAATACGTCCCTCTCCAGGAGGTCGTACGTGCCGTAGTCCGTCTGCTTCTGTCCAATGTTCTCCCCAAGGTTGAAGAATCCCC